GTTGATTAAAATTTAAGTGAATGAAATAGAAGTCAAATTGATAGCTTTCTGGAAAAGTAAATGCTACACAGTAAATGCTACACATCCATTAGAAATATCATCTGACTTCGTACTTCAAAATGCGTGCAGGGTTCGTTTAAAAGAATTTTAATTGTAGATTTTTTTTTTCTGCAGGAAATGCGTATTCGTTTGCCGCATAGAATCAATATGGAACGGCCATATGATGATTCAAGAAAGCATAAAGGATTATCAGTTGCAAATCCTCAAACTGAGGTTAGTATTACTTTTGAGTTTATACGATTTATTCTTTGACCCGAAAGATTTCTGAAGAAATAAGACGATAAAATAAGATGAATCGTTGACTAAATGATAAGAACTTGGAAAATATCCTTTCCTAGTCTTATCAAATTCGGTACTAGTGTGCTTTGGCCTTCGATTAACAATGTCGAGAAATACTGATAATATGATCGCAGATTTGTAAATCGTATCCGAATTCTTTACTTTGCTCTAGTTTTTGTAAACATGTGTGCGTTTTATATCAATATATATTGCAAAAGACTATCGTATTTCAAGAATTATGTTAGATTTTTGTTCAGATTCTGTTTAGTTGACCTGATTTACGATGGTGATGGAGTAAAGTAGAATTTTTGAATAGAAACGTATATCTTTTAAAATTTGTATCATCTGATGATACTGATATTTCACCGTTCAATTCTTCTCAGTCGCTTTCCGTTTGTCCAGTTTTGTCTGTGCGTTATGATAAGATAGCATGATAGTATGTTATGACATTATCAATAACTATATTTCTATTCTATTCCCAATCTTTCTATACCCCTAATTATATGACATTCCGGGTCATCGCATTCCTGTAGTGCTGACCTTATTCATATGGTAGTAGCTGTTATAGTGATGATGGAAGCAATCAGCTGGTTGATTTGATTTGGTGATAAAACTAGAAATGGTGCATTAAGAGAATCATATTTCATAACTGAATTATTTGGTTATAATAAGTTACGTGATATGATACTGCCAAGGTCATCGCCTTAAATTATATCTTCAAAGATTGTCGTACTTTTGCAGGATGTCAACTCATTGTGACTTTGTGTGGAATAGATGTCCTTTTACACCAAAAGCATTGCACTGTTTGTACTAAAATATAAAAGTGAAATAAGAAAGAATAAAAAAGTCTAAAAAAGCAAAAGAATGGATAACTATGGATTAAAGAGGAGAAGCCGGTTGTCTTCTGCTAACTTACTCTTAAATTTCTTAATGGGTCGTAGGTTCAGATGCATACTTTAGAAATGTCATGTAATTCAAGGGGAACTCATCAAAGGAAATGATAACTTGCTAAAGATGGCGATTTGTTGGGTGTTGACTTGCCTTATTTAATCTTTTCACTTAAATTGAAAAGTAGTATCAGAAATTGCATCTATCATCAATTTCAACACCTGAAATCAAAAAATCAGTCACTGAATCAATTCGAATCACATAATACAAAAATCAGTCGCGAAATCTGCAGATGGCCTCCATGACGAAATAATGGACGGAATAATGCTTCTTCGTCAATCAAAAAAAAAAAGAAAACTGATTTATTATGGTCGGATTCATACATGGGCAATCAATTAATTTTCATACTTAGATCAAGTTGAATGATTTACGATGCGACAGCCCAGTAAGCTGTTGTGTAAGTCATCGATCATCTGTTAGTATGGATTCCGGATGTGTTTCACTCTCTTCTGACTTCAGGTACTATTTAGAAATATGGAAAGTTCCCTGCCTATTACGGATATTCGAAATTTAATTACAATAAGCACAAATAGAATTGAAAAATTCGGGAATCATATTATTTTGGAATGAAAACGGAACTGTAGACAACTTTCTGTCAGTCAACCGCCTTTGCACATATTCTGATAAATACGACTGTATGTATATTTACAGCAGTCAATCACCAATGCCTTCCAACACGAACCGAAAATTCTCACTGGAAGATCAGCGAAAGAAAACGGAACAGAATGTGACCACTGCTGAAGTTGAAACTGACGAAAATTCGCAACTTGTGGTAAATTTTTACATATTTGTCCATTTTATTTATTGATTTCTCTGTTTAGTTTCATCCCAGTTCAAGCAGTATAGTTCATACTTGACTTCCTGCACTTTCTTACTCATTTTCATCCACCAATAGCTTCTTGGATATCATTATTCCAGATCATAACAGGTTTAGCTCTACCAAACTGCGCATCTTGAAATTCTTCCATTCCCAGTGTTTCTTAGGCTATGGCTATTGAAAGCACCACAGCGTTACGTTGCAACGATACAAAGTGCTGTACGAACTGGCCAAGACCGAAGTCAATGTATTTCAATTATCCGGTTGGAAAGGCCGTTGTTGTTGATTCACTTTCATTCTCACAGATTACTCCGCCTCCAACTCATCGCAAATTTTTTACGATTGGGAGGTCAGAAAGTGTTCAGGTAAAGTGCCGATTATTGATGATTAATAAGAAAAAGTTTTTCTTTTTCGACAAATATTATATAGTTTAGCAATTTATTGATATGTTATTTCATAGATGTAACGTGACAAAGCATTACATTACCGGAGATGTTGCAGAATTATCCTCGAACATCTACAGGACATGACGTTCAGATGTAAACTGCTAATTAATCTACGTCAAACCTCTCATATATTTGACTTATTTCTCCGAGTTTGTGCTGCTCCTCTTAAGACGACATATTATCTCATAGCCATGAAAATTCTGAGGTAACACAAAAAGCAGTAATTAATTCTAGACTCATCGTCCATGTCTGGCCATGAGTTATATCGACACCCATTCTCCGATAATGTTGCAAGAGGAACAATCACCGAAACTTTTCTCGCTTAATCAGTCGCCGATGTTACATGCTAAACCTGTTACCATATCATTATCCTCAAAGATACCATCATCTCCATACATGAGACTTAAAGACCCTTATGTACGTTGTATTTACTATTAGGTATTTCTTTAATCGTAATCTTAAGAAACTAGTGGGAATTGGAGAATTTAAAAATTGATAATTTAGAAACCATTAAAAAATTGCCAAATTACACCACAACAATCAGTCAATCTACAACCCGACCGTCAGTCAATTTTCCATGCAAGCCGAATATTCCTAAATCGTTCGCCACGCATTATGCAATGTGGTAAACAGCGCATGAACATTGATAAGTACGATTCAGATGAAGAAAGTCCACGACTACTACGCGCACAACCAGCCGTCGTTCTTAGCAGGCAAGAAAATCTTTCATATCAAGTAGTCATATTTATTAAACCTAAACTTGCTGAAGTTTTCAAGAAATCAAATTATACAGTAGTACATATTTAATCTCATTTCCAATATTCCTGAGGCATTTTTGGGTTGGGAAGATTAAAAAATTGAAGTTCAGTTTAATTCTTCATAAAATATTCTTTTAAAAATTTGTTTCCGTGAATGGCAAAATTCCAAATGTTCCTGTTGCGTAAATAAAGAATGTTACTCAATCTAAAGTTTCACCCAATTTCAGATTTAAAATAAATAGCTATATTGAGAAAAACTTTGCTTTAAAAATCCGAAAATTCTAAATCGGCAGATCGAACTTTCGAACTATTTTTGAATCCCTTAATAAATGCAGGAAGGAAATCTCTTTAAAATAATTTTTTTTGTCTCTGAAAGGTTATAAATCATATTTTCATTCGTCTTTCATCTTCCTTATTTTGTAGACAGCAAAGTTACGCTCATTCGAATGAAAGTTCACCTCGTGAGTTGCGGAAAGTACATCTAATTGAAAATCCCAATTCACTGTCTAATGCCCCAGTTTTAGAATATCATCAGCAGCTCAATCGGTAAACCCATCTGACGTTGTTTACGTTTCACATTTTCAATTCAAAATTGTTATTTATTGCAAATGCTTAACTTAAAGATTTTGTAAATGAGCAGGCCATTTGTTTCAACCGTTGGTTATTTGTTTCTACCATAAACATACTGCAGGAGGCCATTTGTTTCAACTGTTAGCTGTTATCATTGAAAAAATTCCATAACTTTCAGTTATGAAAATTCGCAGAATCCCGAAATAATTGTATCTGATCGAACTCGTCGTCGAAGGAAGGAAAAAGACTGGAAGGAATCTGAGGACCTGTAGAAATTGAGGAAATGGAACAATTAATTTATTATTGTAAAATTTTACCTTTTTCGCATTGAATTGTCTGTATTCAAACAAGATTGCGTAACTTTACCCAGCATTAATTACATTAGTTCGATGGCTTGGATAAAATCTACCTGGGATATTTTTCAAAATCTCTGCTAGGAATCTAACTGCTGCAACGAATAATCCATCACTGAATCGAAAACTGGTTAATAAATGTTGCGATGGTCCAATAGCTTTGAAATGCGCGCGGTCTAGTCCATAAAATCGTAAATCCATGAGATTACACAGAGTGGTTTGGCTTATGTGTTTGCTCCTTCTTCAAGAAAACATCTTAAACTTTTTTTCCCGAATTTACTGCGTATTTCTATAATGTAATGTATCAGCAAGATTCATACATTCTATTCCTTATTTCCAAATATTACAGCAAACTGTTTACAACAGTCATGTGATAATTTCTCTTTGCCGATAAAAATTTTTCAGCACTTTGCATAAAGATAATCAAGTAGCGTAAGCCAAGTGGGAACATACGAAACGTGGGGCTATCGAACGGTTTTGAAATCAAAGAAGAATGCATCACAATTAACAGTGAGAGCGGTATCAGAAGGGTTTGTTGTCACCAAAAAATTTGTCTTCTGATTGTAAGGCTTTTGGAGAGCTAAGCAAAGTTATTGTGATTGCAAAAGTTGTAACGAGGACACATCTGGATATGTATGATTCATTAGAAACGGGAACTATCGTTTATTATCGTCCTGTTCCTCATTCTTGTGCTTCCGCTTCATGTGATCATACAAGAATGTACTGTGCAAAAATAATTTGTCGCAGCGATCACACTAAAAAATTTGAAATTGGAAATAGGATTTTCCTAAAAAGCTTAGAATTTATTAGGTCTCAATAAGTTAAGTTCCGTGGATCGGTACTTTTACATAAAGCGAACATCTCTCAAAAGAAGTTTCCTTATTTTATATGGAAAATTGAATAATGACCTTGAATAATGAATTTATTGTCTCCGGTCCACTGACAAGCTCCTTTCGCAATTTCGAATTCTCTATACTTGAAAACTTCAAGCGCTTTTGTAGTTGTTCCACTTCCTTTACAAGTTCTGCTTGTGTTTTCTGAAATTACAACAATTAAGAAGTTTGCCGAATCACTCTCTTTTCTCTCTGTCATCAACTTGAAACTTCGAACTTTTTTCATATTTTACAGTACTACCATTAAACAGGATGCACTTTTTAACTGGGTAAAGGTTGCGGGATAAGACCAATGCAACGAAAAAAGGACTCAACCATTGCTCTTAATCAATCAGAAATACAGCCCGTGGTGGTAGGATCCTGCCATTGTCAGTTAGGCTCGAACAGAGTTTGCTGCATTAGTGTTGTGCTAAATGCAAGCATGGTAGGACAGCGCATTGATCAGGTCAACGAAGCCAGTTTGCTACTTTAACCTGACTAGTCATTTCAGTAATTCAGTACACACTTACCTTCGAATGCGGCTAGATATTATCAGTCCCATCCTGCATTGTTTGTTTGTTCGAAACAGTCAAGTCTGATATGAATTGATAAAATTGTCAAAAATTGTCACTTACCAAAATGTATTCAATTTGAAACTGAGCTATTCGAAACATTTTCAACAATCTTTCAATAGTACAATCATCGTCCTTAACAAACATTTTCATAAAATAATCACTAACATACAACGATAACACACACGGGTAACATACGAATTATCATGTAGAAACCAGCTTTCCGCTTCATTTTGATTTCATTTGAATCTCTTAATCTCTTAAATCTCTTAATCTCATTTTCCGAAAAAACTGATTTTAAAATCGAATTTGGATTTCAAAAATATTGAATTTGAGGGAGGTCTTCCATAAAAAGCTTTTTTTTGAGAAAAAATCTTTCACAACAGTCCTTACCGTTTGATCAATTTTACTCAGCACAATGGATGGTAAAGCTCTTTGAAGGACATCATAACTGCCAATACCTTCCTCCAGAAAATTTAAACTAATTTCATCTGGAAAAGATAAAAATTTGATGACATTCTAACTGGTCAAAGATAAAAAATTTTTCATTGCTTTTTCCTTCAATTAATTAAAAGTTGTTGAAAAATGAAATCCAAACCGAACTTTGATTTCTACTATCGTGACAAATTTCAAAAGTATAACTGAAAGAAATATAACTTGCCAATAAGCCTCCAGTCGGGTTTATGCTGATTATTAAACATAATTACATGGTGCCTCAAACACAGTTTGGTTTGATCACTGCTGATAAAACAGGTCACGTCGTTAACACTATGGGTATTGAAGCGAAGGAAAGCGCTATTGTCATGGTTACCTTGTCACTGCATCGATAGGGGGTGACCATAAAAAGGGAAAAACATCAGCAAATTATACGCATTAGATTACATTTATTGATTTTTGTGATGCAGTGTTGCCCAATACAGTGTTCAAATAGCAAGTATCATGAAAAATATTACCTGATTTGGGAGAGACTGACGTTGAAGTTTGTGTTATCTGACATGGAAGCAAGGGAGTTGATAAAAGTTTATTGATGATGGTAACAGTTTATTAGTAAATGTAGATAATACAAGACCGGTTATGGATAAGTTCCATATTGGTAGAAAGAGGAGGAAGGGTGGAAGGGTGGGGAGGGGGGAAGAGAGAGGAATTTGTATGCTGAATTAATGATAATTGAGGAACTGGAAATGAGGAGACCGTCAATCGTCTTGTACAAGAAAAAAAATTATATAGTGCGTGTGCTTTACGAAACCAATATATTATATAAAAGATTAATTATCAGATAAAAGAATGTGATTAGTTTGGAAGAAGTTTAGATATGTTAATCACTGAATATCAGATTGGAGACTTTTACAATATACCCATCAATGTATGTAAGCTGGGTTGTCAGACCAGCTGATCACTAAAGACCAAAGATTACAAATAACTTGGTGATCAAAGCAACAATCCTTTATCACAGTTACGGGAATTGGATAAATGATTCATCACTTAAGAAGTTGGGAAAATAATCAGGAAAATGATCTAAATAAGACAATATTTATGATGCAAATTTGTGATACATATACTTTGATTGTTTCAATCTGTTATAAATTTCCACGGGTTTTCCGACAGCAAATCGGTTCATTTAACCTTATTGATTTGGAAATTGAATTGAAAAAGGAATCTGGATGAACTATTATATAATTTTTTACAGCAAATGCATTAAAATAATTTCAGTTACTTCAATGGGAAATATTGTTGCAAAATTTAGCAAAAAAAAACACGCCACTATGATGTGAGCATCAGAATTTTGATCATTCATGCCTTTGTTATATGGGTATACTGAAATCATTCATACTCAACACAAAAGACAGTAAAGATCGATGGATATTGCTAGATTTGAAAAACATTTGCGTTAGATGACTGTTTGCAGTATGAGAGTTTTTACAGAAATTGAGGTCAGCTTTAAAAGATATTGTTTATAATAACCATTTTAACTTATTCGGAAATTCAGCTCCAATTATCCGTCACTTTATATATCGTATAATGCATATAATTTATTTCTGGTAGATGTGTATCCGATTAAATTGTGCTGTCCATTATTTGATTTTAATAATCTTAGGTCAAAAGGCAGTCAAGTTTCCTATTTTAGTTCTGAATAGGCACGAAGAGTTAATATTTGTCTCAATACAAGTGGGATGATTTAATGCACCTGGCCTGTAGACCATTATTGTCTATAAACACCATTGTTCAAGCTTCCCATTCATTTCATCCATTTAATTAGCCATCCTTATTTCAGAGGTTGGGATAAAAATGAAATAGTATACAGTCCTGGATTTGATTTCTATCTGGTATAAACGTTGGTTGATATTATAGTAACGTAATTTCAAGTAGCACTTATTAGGACGAAAGGATATTTGGATACTATAAATTCATGGCCTCAACAATAAAAGGAAACGGTCACTTTTTGACTTATTTGTGTCATTCTCCGGAATATGAATTCAAAGTCAATAATGCCAATTGAAATAAGTGGATATTATATTATATATACGAAGTTTGTGTTGAAAATACGACGATGTATCACTTTCTTTGCCTTTGAATAAGCTTTGGGATAAGTCTATCTGTTCTTATCGATGTTTGCCTAATCATTTCGAGTACATGAACAATGACATTATAACAACTGCTTATGTAAACAATACAAACGTGTTTCACTAAACGCAGAAGAAGATAAAGAAAAGGTGCCGTTTAGTTCCAATATGATAGCCACGTATGGTTCTTACCTCATTGCTCAGGTGCAGACGAGTATATTCTCGTACAGATTATTAAAGACAAAAGAAAGTTGGAAAAAGTGAAAAAGGGGGTGCCAGATAGTAAAGTCATGATGATACATACAACGAACGTAACCTAAAACAAAGGTAATCGTACCTGTTCTATTCTCGTAAATATGTTAACCTAGCATTTGTCTACTTCCAATTTGTATTGCGAACGAATTTTCCGATAACTGTTTAAATGTTTTTCTGTAAATATCTTGGTTGCCTTTGGTTTTGCGCATCATTTGATAGTGAAAAACATCATTTTAATTTTGTGCAGAAACCAGCTGCTGACATTTTTGAATTTTTGTTTTTTGCTATCAACAATCTGATAAAAAATGCGAAATGATAGTTTAGTTTGCGCTCCACAACATATTTTGATGTACTACTCTGTGACTTCTAGAACATCGACAAGTTCTTTTCTCATGTAGTTGTATCATTTCTTTAAGTAAATCAGGTAGGTGTAAGTTACTTGCAGAACCACAAGCAATTCAAACAAGAATCTCTCAAGCAATCTTTCAGTAATCTTTAACTTAACTCATTTAATTTTGAGCACTTACTACACCCGCCATTCAATAATTTAAACAAGAAAGAATTCATTCAATGTACGTACGGAGACATTTCGCGAAAATTTTAATCCAAATTCAAAAATTTTTAAAATGCAAATCCATTTAGCATCGTATTCATAGAAAACCTTAATTCTCTCTTAAATTTTGCATACATCGAAACATAAGTCCGTTCTGCTTGGGAAATGACTCTTGAAAAAAAAGAAAACAAAGAAAAACTGTGCAAACATCGATTAAATAGTAAAGTGAATCTGAAGTGAATTATTGCGAAAGAGAGACGGATGGACGATGAAGTTTGTAGTCAGGATAACAGCGGAAATTCCTACTTATTTATGTCAAATGATGATGATGATATCAATATTTAATTATTAAATTGTTTGGTGTGATAAAGCGGGGTATGGTGAGAAATTAATATGTGAATGCAGAAAAGATACGCGGTGCAATGTTTCATCATGTGAATTTCTTCCGCTTACAGTATAAAATAGTTATAGTATGGTAGTACTTTATTGTTAAATCGTTTGGTTGGATGAACACAACATAAAAATTACAGCAGTGTTAAAAAACAAAAAAAAAGAGAAAAAGCAGTGACGAACAATGGTTTGAAAAATTATGATAAAAATATTTTAACTTCCAAAATTTTGGTCACGTGCACTATTTATAATCTATAGATTGTTTCTAGCAAAGTATTTAATAATTTCAAATCAAAGAAGAATAAAAGTATGTTACTAGCAAGGATGTGGCGTTTTTGAATTTGATGAATTAGGAATATGGTGAAATCAAGTTCAAACGAGAACCAGAAAGTGCAGGACAGGGGTGGCTAATCAAGCTGAGTTGAAAAGTTTAACTTTTAAATACAGTTTCTTTTTTTAATCCTCGTAGATTCTGAGTTTGATGAGCGATTACGTCAACATTGTCATCATCAGGTGAGATGCTGCAATGAATCTTTTGATCTTGTTGTACATGGTTTTCTGAAAAATTTTCTGATTTAATTGGCATTGAATGATCAGTGAAATTTTTTTTTATTTAATTTCATTTTGGCTTTTTTCGATAGTTTAATATTTGATAAATATATTCCATTATTCAATATTCCATTTCTTTTTTCATTTAAATTATCTCTGGAACTCGTCTTGGCTTCTTAGTCATTTCCATCGGATGACAACAGCACAGAATTTGCATTTATTCCCTCTTACATATTTGAAAAATTTGTAGCAAAAGTATGGTAAAGATTCTTTCTGCTCCTTTCGTTGACGAAAGTGTAACACAAAAGAAGGATCAATTTAATAGTTTAGCATAATATATTTTACAGAGAAAATGTTTTTTCCTGGAGTAAAACGAACATGGCTTCTTGCTATTACTTTTACTTCCGCGTTGCTCAGCTGCTTATTGTGACAACTAAAAGCGCTTTTTCCTCTAGAGAGAGATATGTACATAAAACACAAATAGAGAAGGAGAGAGAGAATGAGTGAGTGAGCGCAAAGGGAATGAAAATGAAAAAGAAAGTTGTGGTCAGTACCATACCGAGTGCATACAGTTTTCTCTTCCGCTTTGAAATTAAATAGGGTTATGAAAGCTGAAAACAAAATTTTCACCACTTTTTGTGTACTTACTCCCTACAATAATGCTTTATTCATGACAGTTTTCCGTTAAACTCGGGTAAATTTAGAATACCCAACCCATCGACTGGATGGAGTACCCAATTCATGAACTGGATAGAGTATCCAACCTATGGACTCGATAGAATACCCAATCCATGAACTGGATATAATAGAACCCACGAATTGATGGATAATGTGCTGAAATGCATCCTTTTTCTCCCCTTCCCTCTCGCTTTCCAATGAAACTATGACGAGAAAAAAGTTTGATGATATTTTTGAAATTTTGTCGCCATTGTTTACTGAAGTCCACACAATTTCTGAATGCACAAAAGACAACAATGCTCCACCCTTTTTTTTTGAAAAACTCGAAGGATTTCCAAATGGTAGCATTTAGTTTGGTTTAGTTTAGTTTAATTCATTTCGACCAGGAACTTACTAATCGAGACTATCCGTCCGGCACTGACTGGTACAATCCATTGAAATGCTTCCGAGATTTCGAAGGTACTGGTTTTCTACCTTGGGTAAACAGCTTGAGCCACTACCGATGTACGGAATGGGAGGCTACTTTACAGTGTTTAAAACATTTCCAAAGCTTCAATGAATCATAGAGTTTCTTCATCTGATGGTCATTTCTTTGACCATTACCAGTTAGCCCTAGGTTAAAAGTATTTGACTCAGGGCTCTTTCATCATAGAACTGGCTAAGATAAGTTGTACATTTTTAACAGCATATGTTAGCTTGTCTTTCAATAAATGATGAACACTAATCTTTTCAATTGGAAACTTATCCCTTTTAAGATCATAAGCTGACATCGCAATAGTTAGGATAGCCCGCTAGATATTAATTGGACATTTCACTCTTAGCTCTCCAATATACGCTGGTATCATTGCTTGAGCCGGTTTTTGCAAAGCTGAAGAAAAAAAATTTTTAGTGTAACTTTCTCATTGAATAAAAAAACAGTATTCTTTTTGATTTTGAGAAAGTTATCTTTTGTGAACATAAAAAATAACAATTGTTATTAAGATAATAAATTTGAGTGTGCTTCAGTGAAATGTATTTGTCGCCTTAACATTGACACTGCGTTGACACTGCTTCAAAGGAAGGACACATTTTGTCACTTTTTTTTTTTATGCGCCATTATCAATAGCGGGTATTTGCCGAAACAGTTGTCAACAATGATTCCATTTTCTCGAGATGAATGCTTATATTTGTTATCTGAGCATCTTTTCTGTTAAAATTGACTCTTACACTGCTTAAATATTCAGATCGCTTTTTGAAAAAATGCGCAAAAGATCTGAGAAGGAAAAGGAATGAGAAAGTGATGTGGTGTGCCATTTCTTTTTTTTCGAGCAATTTTCACGCATGGGATGAAATTTAAGTATTTTTGCCCGGCTAACACAGGTATTGCATGGAAGATCGGATGTGCAGGCGAAATTTGAATGTATCACTGGGATACGATGTACTTATTTATTAATATTTCAGCAATCTTATTGATTGCTTTGTAGAAAAAAACATAAAAATTGACACATTTCCAGAATGGTTGCTAATATTTTAAGATAAAAAGCTCTATAGATTGGGAACAACAAGTAAATTTTTGTTTAACTGTAAATTTTGAATTCCACTACAACAGGGAACTGTAGAAGACCGGATTTATGAAGAAAATGAAGAATGAAATGAAGCAAAAATAATTAGGTCAATTTTCAAACAATAATTCTTAAAACCGATTTTCAAATGAAATACAAAAAAGCGGTTTTTATTGACACAAGGTCAGAACAGGAAAAGGTTTTTTATCTCTTTTTTTACATCAAGAAATCGCCTCGCAGACTTTTTGACCCGCAAAATGTTAGGGATTTTACCGCTTTGTCTTCATCCTCTTTTTGATAGTGTTACACGCTAATAAATCAAATGAGGCTGATTAAATCGATAACGAAAGGGTTAATTTGTTTTCCACAGTGCTTATGCAACAGATTCTCTTCTGATTTTCTATTCTTAGATTTCCGATTCAGTAAAAACATCATTAAACATGACCTCATCATTTTCCTAGATTCACATGTCAAAAGGCATAAGTTCTTACTAAGCTTGTTTTTATTTTTTATTTTTTTTTTTGATTTAAAATTATTAAATGCGATGATTAATTAAATGGAAACTATAAGATAAATTTAAAAATTTCGGACTCGATTTATTTGTCTACCACCGCCTCATTTGTTTGTTCTTCATTAATAAGAAAGTTTTCGTTATGTCCTGAATTTTTTTTCCGTTTTTGAAGTTTATTGCTATTAGTCTTGTCATTTCTTAGATATCCCATACAAGAAAGTAATTTGTCAATTCAGGAGAAATTAGACATTTTTATTCGTTGACGATGGACAGATCCATCGGTTTAGTTCTACCAAATTTTTTCAAATTCATGTGAAAAATCGAATTTTTATGATTTTCAATTTCAATGAACAAGTTCCAAGCGGTTGGATTTTTTAAGATCCGCCTTTTTGTTGCCTACTGACTATTACTCCCACCGCCATTACACAAATAAAAACATTTCCAATGGATTTTAATTTCCCGGTAACGGTAACGAATGATCTGCTATGATTAAAGCAACTGGAAATAATTACCTCAGAATTTTCGAAATTTCAAATGTTCTCGATTTCATTTGAATGAATGAAAAAAATCAATTCAGTTCTTTTAAAGAAGAAATGTTTCATTGCTTTTAGTGATAATAAAAGTTTAAAATATTGAGGTCTTATATCAGTGTTCTCATGATTCGACATTTTTTAACCTTTCATCTGATCCTGGACACACATAATTTTTTGTTTTATAAATCTTCGACTTTTCAGAAAACTCAAATGACCGTTTAATCTTGAATTTATATGTCACAATTTGAACCGACCATATTATTCTGAATTCAGTTGAACCGACCACATTATTCTGAACGATCCGATGCTACATAATCCGGTATGATGTCATTTCAAATTAACGACCTCTTTTCAACAAGGATCTCCTGTTTTCGCTTGTTTGGTTTAGAATTTTTGAAATTTAGACAGTTGATTGGATGGTTGTTAGTTTAATTGATTTAGATTTATTCTTGATTGAGGTTTCAATTTTTTGGAATTTAAAATTTACTAAAAACACGATGAAGACGAAATTAATTAAAATTCTTTTGTGGGATACGCTCATATGGGAATCAAATTTGAAGAGAAGTTATTCTAGTGTTCTATTGCATACCACCTGGTAATAACCATATTATTTGCACCCATATGTTGTCACTTTGTGAAGTACGATATTTTTAAGTTTTATTTTTACAGGACTTATTGCATTACCGAAAACATTTCGGCGAATTTGCATCATCGCCTACTACTTCATATTCCCTCAACACAGTAACTTTCGAATTGTTTGCAAAAATGTTAAATTTAAATTTCGAATTCTATTTTTGCATATTCAAATTTGTAGGTTTTTCTTAAATGAGGATTTTTTTTATTCTAGCTTACATATTTATTTTGGACTTTAGACAACCTCCAGACAATCTTCTTTAGACTTTGATCAACTTTTTTTTAAACCAACTAAAGCAAGGAGCGTGGATTTTAGATGACAGAGGTGTCAAGTCATCATAGAACCCGAAAATGTCGTCGACGTGAGGTAGCGAATCCAGCAAACACTTTGGATGGCTTGGTCGCCAAACGTGCTGATGATGTCGAGGCTAGAGATGGCCTGCATAAACGTTATTTAACCGAAGCTGAAGCAATCGAAGCCCCAATCGATGATCAGGAAATGAAAATTTCTAGTTTACAGGAACAATTTCTTATGATGAAGAAACATCCAACCATGAATTAAAACATTCGGGTTTTTTCTAGTTAGACATACTTCCACTGACTATTACAGCATGTCGAAATAGATCCTGACGTGTCAACGAGGACCTGTTCCGTTTGTGGTTATCAGGGAAAATGGGTTTCGGAAATGATCAGACACAAGCGCGTACATACTAATGAAAGACCATTTCGTTGCAAATACTGCTCTCGGACAAGCAAATGGAAAGCTGACCTCGTTAGACATGTTGCTAGTATGCTAAACCAATTTTCTTCTTTTATGACTTCATTCCTCTAAGAAATTCATTCTTCTGCACTTCATTGAAGAACAATGACGACTGAAATGTATTTGATAAAATTCAGGTTAAGGCCTTCCGTCCTCGGCATATTGCTATATTTTTGATTAAAATACTTTTCGAGAAACTAACATCAAAAATAGATGTTTAGCAGATGATTTGTGCAAATGATTTGATGAAATCTTCTAGCACACAAACAATGACCGGCATACTTATTATTAAATTTTAACAAAACATATGGCGAAAGAAATAGAACAGAGAGAGAGACTAAAGTAACCTGTTCGTTTATTCATAGAAACGCATGGAATACGAGTGGTTTCAAAATATAGCCGAAGTAAAACCTTTCATAATAGCACTTCAACATTCAACACGATAAATAGTAGAAGTGAATCAAATGAAAAAAATCGAAATTGTTCAGAGGTATATGTCTCCCACTTCCTTATCACTCTTAATTAATGTCCAAATTTAAAATATTATCACAAATGCAACAAAATGAAAATTTTCGTTTTTATTTTTCTCTAATAATTTTTTCGCTGCATTTGATATATATCAAAATATGATGGATAGTGCTGTTTGATTGCGGAGATTAATATTGAAATCACTCATTTACTAAAAGTAAGCGTTACAGATAATCACAGATTTGAAAAATGATAATGACATTGTGGTAAGATGCCGGAAACCTAAAACACATGCACTTCCGATCACGTATCGATGCATTATTTGCTTATTTGAACAGGTTGGTAAGTTCAGAAGGATAACATAATTGTGGTATTTTTCAATGTGCTATATTCCTGTACTTTTGGGCGATTTTAGGATTCAATGCTTGTTTTGATAAGTCATTTGAAGAATGCGCATAATGCACTACCGTATGAATGCCATTCATGTGGTAACTCGTTTATGGATGCTCATACCACTATAAAACATTTCCTCGAAAAGACAACTTGCAAAAGAATTGATCTCAAAATTAATATTGCGCCCTCCCATACTGTAAAAAATAATTTTAGTAAGTTTGTTGTTTCTTTTTCCGATGAATGTTTTGTTGCCGAATGAAACTATAAAAAATATTCTCTTACTTGTTCTTCGAACAGTCTCAAACTTTTAAACTGACCTGTCAAACGTTTTCAGATTTAAAGCCATCATTTGCATTCCTTGATGAAGCTGCCAAACGAGCTGCTCAAGAACTGTTTAGTAAAAGTACGGTAATTCCTTCACCAACCATATTGACTAAAAATGCATCGCAAAATGTAGCTTTGCCATCGAAACCAGCTGGTAAGTATGAAATCAAACAGCCAAATACACATGACAATAATCGAAAAGGTATGTTAAACTTTTGGAGATGTATCATCACATTTCAGATTACAAAAATAGATATTTGTTATGTGATCACTGCTACTGTCATCAGTGAAACGATTGCTTAAAATATCGTTAGAGAAGTTAATCAATAGTTCCAAAACATGTTTTTGTCAATCTTTAATTTCATGAGGCTGATACTGAAGTAATCACTTCAATGGCACTGATTCTTGCATTAGCACATTGAAATTTATTATGTCAAAGATTGAGTTGATGTCGTTTTAGAATTGAAATCATTTCATAATCGTTTGGCCTTTTTAGAAATAACCTATAATTGTATATTTTGCAACTGGACTGCAAAAAATATATGTGTCATGGAAGAGCATATACGCATGCATGCAACAAACCCATCATTCCTGATTCAACCCACAGATAACACTACTGCGAACTACTTTGAAACTCAGATGAAAGTGAATGCGGGCAGTACCGCTACGACAAAACAGGTACTCCTGTATATGGCTTATGTTTCTTTTTGGATTTCAATTTTAATCACTTTTCAAGTTGTTCTTTCTCATACTTTAATTAATATTTCTCTTGCTTAGTATAAATATTTCAGGTATTAGGAACATCAAGGTTTTTTGATTTTGGAGCACTAATATCACTACTGAAACAACAAACTGCCTTCGATCCACTGGTAATTCATTTGTTACAGAAATGCTCCAAAACAAAAGCAGTTTTAAGATAGTAAGAAGTTCATAAGGACGGAAACTTTGATGCAGGTATCACAAGATCTTAGAACTGCTGGGAATTCAATCAAATATTGACGTGTTAATTTCTTGGGATAATTCAGTCAGAGTAGCACTTATCCTATTTCAGTATCACTACACGCCAAACAAAGTCGTATATCCATCTTATAAATAAAGCTTACAATCGTCCATTTTTCTTTTCAATTTAAACCATTTAATTTTGATCATTTTCATCGCGAAATATTTTCGTAAATAACTGGAAGCACTAGAAATCAGCCAACTTATTTGTCAGTACTGCTAGAAAAATGTCCCAGTTATTGATTTTCTTAACGCTCTTGATTAATACGCTTCGTATAGTGAATCAATTAGCTTTAATCATCGATAATTTATTTGAGAATATGTCATACTGATATTTGCCTTTGATTTTAATTAGAGAAGTATTAAGTTTCTGTTGAGGAAATTATGGTAATAGAAGAAACAGCTCATAATTGTTTTCAGATGTAGACCACAAAATTTTTTCAGATCATTATTTCTAAGATTTGCTCAAAGTGTAATATTCATGAAAAAGCCATATTTCACAGACTAACTTAGCTAAACTCACTCACAAATGTTGATTGTGTTTGGTTGAGGTATGATCCTTTAATGGTAATCAAAATGGGACTTAATTTTATAAACTACTAAGCATATCAGATACCATGAATCCCTCGATTTCTTGACTCTGTTCTTTCTTGGCAATAACTATTAGAATAGTTTCCGGTTAATCATCGATACTCACTTATCATGATAGGCACCCAAGTCGATTTTCATATCAGAATTTTAGAACTCACGAAAGTTTTTACACTTGCAATTTCAGCTTTCGATAAGAACACTAACATCAACTCCGACATTGCCATCAGAGTGGATGGCACCCGGCCCCTCAGCTTTCAAGCAAGTAATTCCGATTCCGGAACAGATTGCACCAGTTAAAGACTTCTCATCCTATTCAGGAATTTATGGAATCCAACAAAAACAGGCTACCGGGCAACTTTATTCTTTATTCTCTGATATCGTTGATAATATTTCATGCAATTCAGTTACAGTAATTTCAAACTGCAGTTGTGAAAGTCGTTCTAAAAACTTTTGTTCCATGAATACCACCTCATCGCATATACCAAAAGAGTCAAGCGTAAATTCTAATGTGTCCAGTGATCATCATCACCTAACCCATCATAGCACATCACCATCACTTATCAACTCATCATTACCCAATCACTACATTTCTGAGGGCGTTATCAAAGCTATTCAACATTATTGCCAACGACGCAACGCATTGTTTTCACCAATTCTTACAGCGGTAAATAAAACCCAAAGATTGGATGGCTTTCCAAAGTCATTAGAAGATAAAACGGGCCAGAAAAATGAGCTAGAAATAGCTCACGACCGAGATACAGCGAGAAACGATGAAGACGATTTTGTTGATGTTGTTCAACTTGATAATTGAGTTATCAATAATTGAACTTCCACTCTTTCAGTATTTCAAAAGTAATGATTTCAAAATTGACGAGCCTATCCCTTCCATAAAGGGTTAAATAGACAAAAAATAAAATAGATTAAAATTCATTCTTACTAGCAATTTTTATTTAATCGCTGCGAATAACTGTTAATGTGCAAGATTTATTATAATTTAAAGATATTCAAATTTAAAAGTTTGCAATCTCAATTCGTTTATATGTACATAAAAATGTCTTTCATTCACATTCTTCGATGGTACTTGCCCAACTATTTCCAATTTCTTTATTCCATTTTCCTGTTTCTTCCAATTCTCACAATTATTATATTTGTTGCTGTTTTCATTCCTAGTTTATTAAACTGTTTCCTGACGATTTCCCATTTACAAAGTACATTCCTTCCTAAAATTCAGAACTGAAAATTCCCGTTGGCTTAAAAAATAAAGAATTGGAAATTCAAAAGGCGCAACAATAAATCGAAAAAGTAAAGCCGATAGCAAGATTTATTTGCTGTTTAATTCTGATTATTTGACTTCATGAGTTTCCATCATCTTTGCCTTCGGATCGATTTCACTTTGCAGCTTTGATGCATACTCATGTCAAGAAAAATGTGCAATAGTGTGTGATATTATATTGCCTTTTCTCCTTTCAGATGTTATTTCACCTGTAGTTTATTATTTTAAATTTATGACATTCATCTATACTTGGTCCAAATTTTACCATAGTGTCCAGTCATTTATTACAAGGAATCTTTAACTGAGAATATCTATCTGGATCTCTGTAAAGAGGACTAGATGTTTAAAGTCGAATCACATCATTTACTTAATACAGTGACTGTTTTCTGCAAGATTTAATGAAGTTATCATCGGATTATTATGAGAATTTCAAATAAACAAACGAATATTATCGGTTGATTAACTATTACATAAAGCTTAAATATGATTTCCCTTTAGGGTCTTAATTTCCTTTTTACCTAAAATCTATTTGTTATTGAACCTATTTTAATTGCTACCTTTTTTGTACAGATAGTTTTTTTTCAACTTCTTTGAGATATAAAGTTGTTACCTGCCTACAGTAAAATTGTTACCTACCTATACCGCAGTTCTTTCATCAATTTTGCTCATCAAACATTGTCCATTTCAATCGATCACTTTCAATCGCATTTCTCCATTAGGAAAAATATAAGTTAGGCGACAGATTATAAGTAATACCGCATTTGCAAATATGCTATGCTTTTCAAAATTTGAACATCGATTTTAATGTAATTATATTTTTTTCTTTTGCCAAAAAGTTCAAATTCCTGGCGTGTGGATATTTACTTAACACTTCCAAGTGCGTAACAATTCAAGTGATCTATCAACACATTCGTTACGGCTGAGATCTGCAACGAACTAAGAAGTGATAGAATGACAAACTTGTTGACTTCAGTCTAATTTTATTTCCATTGGTAATACTCGATACTTTTGCGAAAATATCAAAGAGATTGAACGAAATACATTTGACAATTAAAGTTACAGCCGGACTGTTTCTATGAGTATTGCTTTTATAAGTCCTGCGCAGTCCCTTGTTTGCCACGAAATCGGAAAAAGGAAGAAGAATGTGTAGACATCAATGTCTTGCATCGTCCACTGCCTACAGAAATTTAAACTTACCACATCCTGACAACCAGTACCAAAACAGCCCTTGGACTAATCGGTGGCTCACGCTTTCTTCAATGTAATTTTTTTTAAAGCTACTTGTAATGTGCGGGGTTTGACTTGCTCTGTAAAATTTGGTCCTTTCTTTCCTTCCTTTCATTCCCAAGAGCCATACAGAAAAGAATCGATAATACGGTACTAATTAATTTGTACCAAGTCTTCCTTCGGCCATATCCTCCACTTCCTGTCGCCTTCCTACCGCTTTCGCTGTTTTGACACATTCTTCAAAAGCGATCAGTCCACAATTATCGATAAAGATGGCGCTCAAACAGAAGTGAAAAGAAAACTGTAGATATCTTCTATAGTATGTCTTGGTATCAACATTTATTATAAATGTCCACGTCATTATAGGTCTCAGTATCACTGTTTTGCTGTGCTTCTAGAGAGTAATTTTTGCCACCTAACCTGCCTGGACTTGTGGTGAGAGACGTTCTCGCGATGGATTGAACTGCAGGATTTGAGTTATCATGTTTTATGAGATGATCTAGCTTGAGGGGTGAATATTTACAGCATGTCTTTTGGTGTGGTGGCAAATTACAATGCTATTATATATCTGTTCATTCTCAAGTTATACAGCTTTGTATTCACAACAACAGTTTTAATAGTTTTTAGATGACTATTTGTCGAGATCGTCAAATATGTGAGGTTATAATTTTTTATCCTACATAAAATGATTTTATATACTTTTGCAGCAATGAATCAACGCAGAACTTAAGAAACTTGTTTTCTGAGAAAAGTTTAGAACCGTCTCAGACTT